TTCCTAATCCATTGCACCAGTGTCTGGTCTCCCTGGCCCCCTGCTCTCTCTTTCCACTCTGTTTCCTCTCTTTTCTTACAACTACCTAGATTGTACTCAGTATTTCTGCCCAACTTGTGGCCAAGCTCTCCCATGAGGCTGTCAGTGCCACCCCCAAACTGTGATACCTTCCTCTGAATTGACGATGAAAGCTCACAGAACACCCTGTTGTGGTCTGCAATCATGCAGGATTCCCTGGGAGCCAGGGGGCTGTGTCCCTATCATCCAACACACACAATGCCTGGCACACGGAAGGCACTCAATAAGTGCTGGTTGAATGGGGATTGTCTTGGTGATGGGGGTGCACTGCTCAGATCGCCCTTCAGGAGAACCTGCTCGGGGGAGCGTGGTTGACCGAGAGCCTCCAGCTGCTATGCCTTCGGGTCCTCTGTGATATTCTTGAAAAGGCTATGCTTCTCCCCGTCAGTGACTGAGCATGGTCGGGGGACCAGAACCCAGACATTTCTGTCTGATGCAGGACGCTTTAGCAGGCCACCTTTGTCTGAGGACTCCCCATCGGCCTGGTCGAGATAGTCCCAGAACTGCCTGCCACGCTGAGGCTCTTCCTATCCAAGCCTCCTCCCTTCCTGTTCTCCTTTCCTGGTTGTCAGACCTGCATTGGGGTCTGAAGGCTCTTCTTCCCTTTTCCTCCTCCTTTCCCCTTTATCCTACACAAGCATTTCTCCCAGAATGAAAAACAGCTTGTCATTTGATTCTCAGAGGACCCAAACCAACACAGGGATCAATGAAAAAAGTACTAGAAGAGCATTCATAAATAATATGACTATAGACACACCTGCATAAGAGATTATGTTCAAAGGTGTGCTGGATCCATGCTTCAAACACTCTGTGGCATGATTCACCCAGCAGCTCATGTTGAAATGCAGATGCTGGTTCAGCCTGTCTGGGATGGACCCAAGACGCTGTATTTCTAGGAAGCTCCCAGGCTGTACCGATGCTACCGGTCCAAGGACGACGGTTTGAGCAGCAAGGCGCTGGAATTTTTATTTGCCCTACTGAGTCTCTCTCCTTCCTGCTCTGAACCCTGGGAAGCCGACTGTGAGGACCACATCAGCAGGCTCTGAGCATCTGCCTAACAGTTGGGTTTAGCCAATAAGGAGGGCTGGCAGGAGGTCAGAGGGCAGGAGGAGGGTGAGGTCAGAGGTTGCTGTAGGTTGGCTGCGTCCCTCTACCAAAGGCCATAACTCCTATTAGGTATATCTCTCCAGTTTTCTCTCCTGCAGAATTCCAGTAACTGCTCTCTCCCTATCTCCCTTCAGGCCTGGGGTGGGAATGGCTCCCTACTGTTACCAGCCTTGGAGTACTGCACCAACCCTTGTGGCTCCTAGTGAACCCTGACCACAATTCTGTGATTAGCCCTTTAGTAAATGTTCCTCATATCTTTGGCCAAGTGTGCCCTCTGTCTCCTGCTGGGACTCTGACTGCTACACGCACTGTTCAATGCAGGATTTTTTATAACAGCAGAAAACTGGAAACAAGCTAATTGTGCATCATTAAAAAATGATTAAATAAATTATGGTACATCTGCTTAATTGTGTTACAAGCAACCATTAAAAAGGATGCAGTAGATCCATATTCACCTACATGGTAAGATGCCCAAGCCATTCATTAAATGAAAGGAAAAAAAAAAAGCAAGATTCAGAATAGCATGCATTGCATGAACCATTCATTTAAAAAGTAAAATATGCATTTGTTGAGGCTTGGATTGCAAGTGATGACAACCCTGCTCAAAACAAACCTCACCAGAAAGAACGGGGGGAGGGTTTTCTGACTCCATCTCTTTCCATCACTTGTCTCTGCTTTCCTTCCCTTTTTCTCCTCCTCCTGAGTGAAGCGTGGTGGCTTCACTCAGGCAGGCTGTCTTCCAGTGGAGGCAGAGCAAGCACCAGCTTGGCTTAGGACTTCCTGACATCAACAACCTGAGCAGAGAGGGCCTCGCTCCCGATTGCTTTAGCAAAAAATCCTGGGCTGAAGCAATCAGAATGGGCTTGGAAACACACTGACCACTGACCCACACTGACCACTGACCCACACGGACCGAGAGTGGAGGAGGGAGGCTCCCCAAAAGAAAGAGGGTATCTCTTCCCAGAGCAGGAGAGGCAGGGCAAATGTGAGCAACAGATGTCCACTCGAGAGGGATATTTGTAGTAGACACTTGTTATCCTTTTTGGCTGCCCAGCATCTGAAGCTCCTTCCTATACTGGAAAGGTTCCTGCTCCTGGGGCACCTACAGTAGAGCCTACTTCCCCTTACACAGGCTGAAAATGCCAGAAAACCACTTTCCCAGCCTCCCTTTCTGCCAGGCAGAACACACAACCCAGACCAGGCCATTCAGAGGCTCCCATCTCAGGCTCCAACTCTGAAGCTGCTGACACCAAAAAGGGCCTGTGCAGACTCCACCCTGGTATAGGGTGCAGGGCAGCATGATTTGGGACACTGTTCCTGTTTGTGGGGCCTCTGAGACTGGTTCCCTGGCCCTCATGACATCTGTGAGCTAGGAAAGAATCTTGTATTAAATCCCCTTCTGCTTAAACTATTCAGAGGGTTAATTTCTGCTGCTTGCAATCAGGAGCTTGATTAATGCCTAGAAGAACATGCGCATGTTTGTATACGCGTGAAATACTTTTGGAAAGATAAAATAAATGTGAATATTGGTCACCTATGGGGACTAGGACTGGGAGAGTGGGGGAGAAGCGGGAGGGGCTTTTGCTTATGCCTTTTTGTACCATTGGAATTTATTTTTTACCATGTATATTACTTTCATAATAAAACAATTAGTAAAAATACTAGAAAAGACACCTGAATAAACAGAATAAGATGCAATTGCTCAGGATTTTCACGGAAACAAAAGTCTTCATTAGACCTTCAAAAGGAAGTCGTCCTCACCTCTATGGTGGTGAATGGGGCCAAATCTGGAAATGAGTGACAGTGTGCCACCTCTGACACTGGGCCTAAGTGCTAAGCTCTAGCTCTGTAACTCACCTGCTCAAACACTTCCCATGGCTCCCCATTACTCACAGAATAAATCCCACTGTCTTCATCCTGGCACTGAAGCATTTTCCAATCTGAGCCCTGTGTACTTTTGAGACTTTTCCTCATCTTTACACGTTGCTTAGACCTTTTCTTCCAGCCCTGCCAGCCCAGATCCTAAGGGCATCCAGTATCTACCATCTTCTCTGATCTGCCAAAGCCATCACTCTATTCCTTCCTCACACCCTCATCAAGTTTTGCTCTGCATTATGATTCTACATACATGAGACTTAGTCATTTCACAGTCATGTACTGAGCACCCACTCTATGTCTGGGATTTGGCTAGACTTTGGAGCCACTGCTCCCAGTCTATGGAAACCAATTACTCCATCTCAGAATGTTAATGTTATCACCATGAGCAGGTGGCATAAGCAATTTGCAGGCAGGGCTGCTCTCCTTAAAACCTTTCTCTTTTCCCCTGCCTGGATTGCACTCTCCGCAAACATCAGCATGGCTCGATCTCTCAATTCCTTCAGGTCTCTGTGCAAATGTCACATTCTCAGTGACACCTTCTCCACCCACCCTATTATAAAATACCATCCCATCCTCTGTCCTATTTACTTGGATTTATGTTGTGTTCTCTGTATTAACAGCACTCAACACCATCTGACAGACAAGTTACTTACCTGTTTGCGTATAGACAGCCTGTCTCTTTCCACTGTCAGGTCCAGGAACGCAGGGGTTCTATCTCATTCCCCGCAGCTTCTCCAGCGCCTAGAACAATGCCTGGCACGGAGCAGGCACTCAATAAATATTTGTTGAGAACAGAAAGAGAATTGGACTAGGTGTCCTAGTCATAGCTCTCCCACAAGATAGTCGTGCGGCCCTCAGCAAGACACGACCTCTTTAAGCCTCATTGTCTCCTCCGTAAATTGGGGGTGATCATCTGGGCCCTCCCTGGTGGCGGACAGGGCTGCTGTGATGACCAAACTTTAGCGAGCATCGGAATCACCTGGAGGGCTGTTCAATACAAATGGCTGGGCACCATGCATTCAGTAGATCGGGTGGGATCAGAAAATCCGCATTTGTAAAATGTCCCAGATGGTGCTGCTTCAAGAACCACTGATGAAAAGAGAAAGGCGCTGCCCTCAAGCCCGTCCCAGATAAGGACCAGCACTAAGGCCCCGCAGTGGGTCCATCTGTTCCCTAATTCAGTCAACAACTATTTCGGAGGCGCCGGTTAAGTGCCGGGCGATGGGGGTCAGCAGCACCCGCCAGAGGCCAGGCCCGGGCGGCGGTGGACTCAGAGCCGGCCCAGGGGCCGGAGCCCGCGGCGGAGGAGGGCTGGGGCCCCGCTCCGCCTCCGCGCGGGGCAGGAAGTCTCGGGCGCGGCGGGG